TCTATCATCACCTCCGCCCGTATTGTTCGACCCATTCTCTTCCGGCACATCCTCAGAAGACGCCCCAAGTCGGCGCAGCAGCACATCGCCATCAGAAGTCGACGATACCCCGCCCTCGAATCCAATCAACTTATCGCAAGCAAGTTTTGGCTCTGGCAAGAATACTTTGCCTAATATGAAAGGAAAGGATATGTTCGACGCGTCAATATGGTCAGATCCTCTCCGAACATCTGTTTTCTACACATTCGCGACCACGCTACGCCAGAAGGTTAGGGATGTAGAACCTACAAGTTCACATCGTTTCATCAGCCATTTGAGAGACCGTGGCAAGCTCGTGCGCTGCTACACTCAAAATATTGATCAGATCGAAGAGAAGGTTGGACTATCGACATGCCTCCACGATGGCCCTGGAAGCCGTGGGCGCTTTTCAAGAAAGTCGACAGCCAACATAAACCAGCTCAACAGGATGGTTGATGAGGTGAATGCCATGACGGACACAAATTCTTCAGACAAGTCACAGCAGTCGTCAGATAATGAAGCTAGCCAGCAGTCTCAATGCAGTCAGCCGAAATTTGAAAGCACGGTGCCTGCTTCTCAAACAGAGTCCGACCAATGTACGACAGATGAAGCCCTGACAGCAGTAAGAAATCTGCGTCGCGACCTTCCAAAGTCGGGCGTGGAATGTGTTTTCCTCCACGGATCACTGGAACTTCTGCGATGTTTCTTGTGTGGTCGAGTGTGTTCGTGGGATGATGACGAACGCCAGCTAGAGACAATGTCAGGCCAGCAGCCTGAATGCCCTCACTGTGTAGGCGCTACAGTCGCTAGAGAAGAACGCGGCAAACGAGCATTAGGTGTCGGAAAATTAAGGCCCGACATTGTGCTCTACGGCGAAGAGCATCCCAACGCGCATCTGATCAGCCCCATTGTTACACACGACTTGGCTCTATGCCCCGATCTCCTATTAATCCTTGGTACTAGTTTGCGAGTCCATGGGCTGAAGGTTATGGTCAGGGAATTCGCCAAGGCAGTCCACGCAAAAGGTGGTAAAGTTGTCTTCGTTAACTACACCAAGCCCCCAGAGAGTTCATGGGGTGATGTTATTGACTATTGGGTCGAGTGGGACTGCGACGCCTGGGTATCTGATTTACAAGGCAGAATCCCCAAGTTATGGCAAACACCCGAGCCTCCCAAACTTAAGAAGAAGCGGGAGTCTAGTGGTGTTGCTGAAGATGGCGAGAAGACCGAGACAAAACGCCCTGTTGCAGCTTACCCAGTTGCCCTCCGTGATACAAAGGCTACGGGGGCATATTGGAGCCCGAGAATAATAAAAGAACTGCACAGAATAACTGGTCACGACCCCCTAGAATCACCGGTCTTTACACCACCAGCCATTGTCACAACAACAGAGACGCTCCCGCCTGCCGACATGCCTCTGACGACGCCCCAAGGCAAACCTGATCGGGTCAGAACTAGAGCCCAACGGTCGCGCAAATCTGCACCGGGTGTTCTAGAGCGATCCAGCATGCCTCCCTCGACACTCAACCCCAATCATGGACGAACTCTGCGAAGTGCCGAGACAAGAGTGCACCTCTTGGGCGATGAGTTGGCGTCTACGAATGAAATCATTACACATGAAAGGGTGCTTCTCCATGGAAGCTCGATAGCCAGTCTAGTCAAGTCGAGAGCACGAGAGCGCAAGCGCAAGAAGATTGATGGCGAGGAAGTGTCTCTTCCCTCCAAGCGAACACTGGGTTCACTCCGACTGGCACCATTGAGGCCTCAGCCATCAGATCCCCGCGATATCATACCTTTCGACCGACTGCCAACAATGGAACTCCCTCCAAATACCCCGGAACCATTCACAGAAACTGGGCAATTGCAATCCATCTCACCGGTGATGCATCATACCGAACCATTAATGCCTGTTTCGCATAACACGCGAAAGCAGACACATATCCGACGTAGCCAGGCATCTTTCATGCGCGGCCAAGATCTTGCTGCAAGTCCGGCGCCTATGCTGCCACCAGAGATGTCGCACGGACTGTTGGTGTCATCGCACGAGCGGTGCAACCTCGTCATGAAGCATGTTCGCTCACAGAGGGAGGCGGATGCAGCTTTGGCGCTATCTGCGCTGAGCCAGGGCGATGCACGCCCAGTCATCACCAAAGAGTTCACCATACCGCCGTGTACGGGCGTCGGGATACGCAAGTCGGCAAGGCTGATTCACAGGTCTGGCACGCCTACGAGCACCTAGGGCAGAGGTTGTTGTCTTATAACGGCCGATTGCAAAGTTCACATACAAAGAGTCGCAGATTAGCGAGAACATTAGGGCCCAGATCCCTTAGAGCATTTATGACAAGGCGTTGGGGATGGCGGATAAGCCAAGTAGCACTACACTACAATTGATTGAATGAAAGTTGACTTTCTTTTTTCCAAGATTCACTTCACTACTCACATGCTGATTAATTATTCGCCGCGATCGGCGCGTGCCAAGGTGACTCTTGAAGAACTGGAGACCCTCCTCCAGCTCTGGGTATCTCGTTTTACTGGCGTTGAGCATTGTCGATGACTCCTGTTGCTCGCCGAAGAGCGCCTTACCACGCCCTGATGCGGGTACCCACGGGGTCAGTCCCGGAACTGGCGACTAAGGGCGTCGTTGACGTTGAAGATGTGGGGTATTCAGCTCGTACTAGACAGTATCATTTGACTCATGATAGCATGAGCTGAGAATGTATAAGTTGTCGTGTCAAACCCATCATAGCCAACGTTCAATGGGATGAACATTCAACCATTGTCTAGCTTCTAACCACTACAAGACACACATCATCATGGGTTCTATCGGTCAAGGATCTTCGCAGCAGCTTCCTGTGCGGGGCAAGACTAACACCTCAGTCTTTGGAAGCGCTATCAAGAAGGAGTTTATGTTTGATCCAGAATGGAGAAATCTTAACCATGGTATGAAAGAGTCGAAGTAGGAGTAGAACGTCAACTCACAGGAGTTATAGGCTCCTTCGGTACATATCCTCAGGCTGTCCGAACAAAATTCCGCGAGTATCAGGATGCGAGGTAAATACAATCGATCCTCCGGTTGTGATCTTTGGTCTAACAATTGTTAGTGAAGCTCGCCCTGATCCATTCATTCGCTATGAATATCCAAAAATTCTCGATGAGAACCGCGCTGCGGTCGCAAAGCTTCTCAATGCTCCAGTGGACAGTGTTGTATTTGTCTCAAACGCCACTACCGGTGTTAACACAGTCTATCGCAACATGCAGTGGAATGAAGACGGAAAGGACGTCATTATCAGCTTCTCGACCATCTACGAAGCTTGCGGCAAAGTCGCGGATTATTATGTTGACTACTATAACGAAAAAGTGACTCATCGTGAAATCGAGCTCACATATCCCCTCGACGACGACGAGATCATCAAGAAGTTCGAAGCTACTGTGAAGAAGATCGAGTCTGAGGGCAAGCGGGCTCGTATCTGTACGTTTGATGTTGTCTCCTCTCGACCAGGTGTCGTCTTCCCTTGGGAAGAAATGGTCAAGGCTTGTCGTCGTCTCAACGTGCTGAGCATGGTTGATGGCGCTCAGGGCATTGGGATGGTGAAGTTGGACATCTCTGCTGCTGATCCAGACTTCTTCGTCTCAAACTGTCACAAGTGGCTTCACGTACCACGTGGATGCGCCGTCTTCTACGTGCCTCAGCGCAACCAGGCACTTATCCAAACGACACTGGCTACCAGCCACGGGTACGTGCCGAAGCTGGTGAAACGCATCACACCGCTCCCTCCCAGCTCCAAATCTCCATTCGTCCTCAATTTCGAGTTTGTCGGCACGCTTGATAACTCGCCCTATCTTTGCGTAAAAGACGCTATCAAATGGCGAGAGGAAATTCTCGGCGGAGAGGATGCCATCTTAGAGTATATCTGGGACCTGAACAAGAAAGGCAGCGAACTGGTAGCTGAGAAGCTAGGCACGACATATATGGAGAACAGCACTGGCACGCTGCGAAATTGCGGTATGGCTAACATTGCGTTGCCCGTGTGGACTGTGGAGGGTAAAGAGGGTGATGTTGTCGTCTCAGCAGAGGAGACACAGACGGCGTTCCAGTGGATTTTGAATACGCTTATTGACGATTACAAGACGTTTGTGGCGCTGTTTTTACATGGGGGCAGGTTTTGGATCAGGACGAGTGCACAGGTTTACTTGGAGATTGGGGATTATGAGTGGTTGGGCGGTGTCTTGAAGGAGGTTTGTGAGAGGATTGGTAAGAAGGAGTACCTCAAGTAGAATCCAGTATTTGGGGAAATGTTACTGGCAGATGAGACCAATTCGGCAGGAATTGATATCATGAGGCATTACAGGCATAATCAAGGTGTATTCAGCACCAAAATTGCGAACGACAAGAATCTTCCTCGTGAAACAGTTGCTCCTGTAAGCGTTGCAATGTTGAAGGGTTCCCAGAGAGCAAAACTTCAGACTTTGCAAAGAGATGCGGGAAGAAACTCATTAAAGAGCCCCTAAGCTTAGGATTCTTTACCTAACACTTTTATCACTCAGTACGAGCCTTAGTCCTATCAGCTCGGCTAGAGTGTGTTGGTGTTCGTTAGCACCTGTCCTGTGGCTAGATACGATGAAGGATGAAGGATCGAGGCGAACCTTTGCTGAATCAGGATAGGATAACTTGATGGCAATACTCTGCCTTGATCTTGATATTCGCGGACCAGATCGGGAATACGAACTGACAAGCAGGGATCTGTGGGGGCTGAGGGTGTCAATCAATCGCCCTGTTTGTATGAATACGCTGTGCGCCTCGTGACGCTAGGCATTCAGCTTCTGACGGCCAATCGCCCCAGCAATTCTATAAATATGGATGGATGTTCTAGAAGCTCGCCTGCCAAGAAGTAATCGTCTTTACTACTCCACAGCAAGTCATCTTCACTGCAAAGAACACAATCTCGAACAAAATCAGAAGCCCCTTTATCAACAATACCAACATGGGCAACTCTTCGTCTTCCTCATCAAATCCCTCTGAAGAAGCCAAGGACAAGAAGACGCTATATGAGCGCTTCCAAGCCGGTAAAAAGAGTGTACCGCTCAGCGATGAAGATATACAAAAGTACACGGGCAAGACTCGCGATGAGCTGAGCACATGGGCTGATACTCAACCCGGCATCGGAAAGAATCAACTTGCGGGTAGCGTAACAGCTGGACCGATTTCTGGACTTGGAGGAGTTGCCATGGCCGACGGCCTTGGGGGCTGGGGACCGAGTGCACATCCGAATGATAAGAACAGAGGAATGAAGTTCCCTCCTACGAGGGAGAATGAAGCCGAGGACACTACCGAGGACACTACCGAGGTGACAGAGGTGGTAGAGGATAAGAAGTGACGGTATTGCAAGTGGGCGAAAAGATGATATCACGACAGCGCGATCGATGACATAGCAGACAATTGTTCAATTTAGTATTGCTTTACTTGGCTTCTCTTTCGAGTGACATCCAACTTTAGGTTTCATGTTTTCCAAACTTAAGTCAGACTAAATGAATGACAAGGTTCCATACCTCGAACGAGAGACGAGGTCCAGGATCCCGAATTCACAAGTTTCGTTTCACAGCAAGGACCTTCTTCGATAGTCTCGCTTACAGATCGTTCTGCTTCTTGCGAGTGTCGAAGATCTTGAGAGCTTCCTCGGCAGCCTTCAAACCACTGAGAGCCATGGCACCGAAGGTAGGACCTAATAGATGTTAGATGAAGTACATGCCAGGATTGACATATAAAACTCACCCATGCGGTTGGCACCGTCAACCTCGGAAAGTTCCATTCCACCGACAATAAGACCAGGAACAATCTCGCGGGTTCCCTTGACGATGGCATCCTCGGCGAGGTTCATGTCAAGACCACGCATACCACCAAGCTTCTCAATGCGCTGCATGCTGACGAGGCGCTTGACACAGAAAGCTCCCATCGGGCCATCGTGGCCAGTGGTGGAGATGATCAAAGGAGCGTTAATAGTGTTGGGGTCCATGCAAGACTGGTCATCGTGGTGCATGGAAACAAGAGTCCAGTTGGTGACAACACCTGCAATGCGGACTCCCTCCTCGGAAGGTCGGGTGATGAGATCCTCAACACAAGTGGCATTGAAGAGCTTGATGTTGGGCATCTGAAGAACCTTGGACATGATGGTCGAGGTGAAGAGGGCGGCGTGCTTGACAACAACGTAGTTACCCTCATCTTCATAAGGAACACCGACCTCGCGAAGGAAGGCATCAGCAGGCTTGCGCATGATCATGGCGGAGAACAGCTGTCCACCGAGCCAAGCACCACCACCAGGAGACACAGAAGCCTCGATAATGGCGATCTTGAGGTCGGGACGCTTCTTGCCAAGGATGTAGGCAGCACTCAGACCGCAGGAACCAGCACCAATGATAACAATGTCAGACTCGGCATAGTTATCAAGATCCTGGAAGTAGCGACGGGTCATGGCACGGGAGACCTGGCTCTCACGGATGGGGGCAAACTTGAAGTCATCCCACTGACCGAGCATTTCCTCAACGGTCTTGGTGTTGATGTTCTTGCTCATGACTGGAAGCTTGGTAGATGTGGCAAGCTCTGCAGAGCGAGAGGGGGGGGAGACCGCAGCGGGAGGGGCCATTTTGATCTTGGGCCTGTTGTCGTTAGAGCCTGGTGGTCAATAGGGGAGATGACATGATCCTTTCGCTGGTATTATCCAGATCAAGTTTTGCCGTATAATCTCAGCCACATCCCCCTATCATCAATACGACCAGTTTGAACTGATCATGCTGATGAGAGAAGAATGGGCACCGGCTCATGCATGATACTTTACCTGAGAGGTCCCAATCAGGTCTGGACAAGACTACCGCTGAAAGGCTCCATGGCTGCTAAGGTAGCTTAGGAGAGCCGTACAGGTTATGATATCTAGCATATCATATGTGTCAGAGCAGCCCTTTCATACGATTCAGATACAAACCTTGGATATTCTTCAAGTGATTAATGTCGAGTCGATGAATTGAGCAAGAGGAAAAGAAGAAGGGTTGGGAATGGAACGACCTTGACCTTTTTATGCCCGCAGGTGAGGGGTAAAAGTAGCCCGTTGATATCATGACGGAGCAAAGCGGCCGATGCTGGCCAACAGAATGCAATGCCGAGTATTACCTACTGTAGACGCGTGTTTTTGATAGGTGAGTGTGTGGGGGTCTCTTGTTAAGTCAAAGATGACTGCCGGGGTTGCACATCATGAGCAATATCCCCTCCATCATATCATGTATCATGATGTCAACTCAGTCACTTCGATTGGCCTTCATTTCATCCCCAATCTCCCATCTCGTACCTAGTGGCTAATAAAGTACCTCATACAATACAGATATTGAGTAAAATGCAGAGACAAGTCTCGCTGTTGAGCATGTGAATGTCCTTCAAGGCGGGGGATCCTCAGTTCCACTGAATGCGGCTTTTAACCGGCCATGACATGACAGAATGAACATGTCAACAACCCACTCTTGAACTTAATTGCTGCATCGGAGGTGTAATGCCGAGTCGAACGAGTTCTTTGATCAGCCAATCATCAAGTGTGTAATTATCTAGCTCATTAGCGAGGTTCAGGGTTCCAGTGCTGACACGGCACTGAGTTGTATCGCCCAGCAACCTGACAAGACCTGGATGGCAGAGTTCATGATATGAAGTTGGGGTCGGCTGTATGAGTTGAAATATATGCGAATATGCACATTAAACAAGGAGAAATATATCACGGTATGTCTTAAACGTTCACGAGCAGTCTCTTGGGTTCCATCGCTACATTCACGAGCGATATGTATATCACCATGCACAAGGAGGATATCGGCCGCATTCTTTTTCCTCGCAACAGGTGGCATGATCTTTCTCCAAGCGAGCCGGCTGTATTCATAGCTACTCTAGCCTCCCAGCTTGACTATCTGACAGCATTCAAGACATCATACCGCATTGTGTCCAGATAAGAGGGTCTCGACATAGCTAATAATAAACGTCGAAATAGTAGTTACAACTGCGAGATACAAGTTTCGATAAGTAGTTTCCGTAGTACTCTGTAGCCTTTATCGTCATCTTTTTGTTTTCCGCCTCCATTTCCATTTCGCAGTCGCACATTGCGAGTATCAATACGCACAGCTTGGCATCGTTTCGAACCCCCGTGAGGCTCAACATTTCGTACTCCAATTTCTGGGCGATGCTCAGCTTAGAATTGCCGTATACCGGCAGAGTTCCTCTGGGAATATCTACAGTAAGTTTGTGCTCAGGAAATCCGAGTAGTGGTGATATCGATTGTCTTTCGATCTCGGGGTTGTCGCCCTGGAAGCAGGCCATGATTCTGTATCCCATGTAGTCGATGCCACCTTGAACGAGCAGTTCTCCACGAAATTTATCGAGGTTCCGTCGCAGGCCATTGCTTGACATCGGGCCTTGACAGGCTAGAAGACGTTGTGCGATATTGTATGCATCATAGACTCCAGACAAGTCTTTCAACCAAACCGCAACAATCATGATGCCCCTGCCCCCTTTCTCGATAAGGTGTTTCCTCCAATTCAGAGCCCTCTCCCATGATCTGAAGAATGAGACGAATGGCGTTCTAATACGCTTCCAGAGTAGATGGCACTCGGCAGCCTGCCAGAAGTCGTCGTCAGATATGTAACAACGAGGTCGAATGCTGCTCAAGTTGAGTGAGTGTTGGCTAACAACAAAGCCACAGTTTTTGTCGTGGCATTCCACGCGAAATCCTATCACTGCATCTACGGCCTCTGGTGGGTCGCGTGGATAGTTCATGTTGAAGAAATGAGGCTATTGCTTTGGCTTTGGCTTCGGCTGCGGGTGCTAATCTTTTCCAAGTTCTCGTTTACGGGGGAGAATAGAGGATTTTATATGTTAAATTAGGAGGATTCACTCAGTGCAAGTGACTCTTCAAGACGTGATGACGCAATCACGTGGTTTTCGCTACAAACAACAGGTCAATGAAGACAGATTTATACAGACAAACGAGGCTTCCGGTGTTAATATATATAACTGAAGGAGTTGGATAAGTGACTTCACAAGCGTCTAGTGAATTTCAGCGGCAAGGTAGAAACTCATGGATCTTGACGCCAGGTTTGCAAAGCGCATCAGAAGCTTTAATATAAGGACAATTTAGTATCCAAGTGTTCATCTTATTTGACAATTCCATACCAGATACGATGGAGTTCCAAGAAACTACATCGACATCCTTGCACACTGAAGGGTATTTAACAGTGTCGAGACTAATTTATAGCCGTAGCTAGACGTTCTTATGTTTCTGAAGCTGGTGGCATCTTCGTTTCCTCCATGTTTGGCATGATTCCGGACTTCGATCCCAGCAGAGCTGCCTCCTCAAAACGGCCAGGACCTCAATGACTTATGAGATGTTAGAATTCATGCAGTGGTCTATGATTAATGTAATGGTCTTGATTTATCACAACATAAGGCTCGATGAAATATCACGGTGCCACTCAGCGATCCATGAGTTGTACTGACTCGATATCAATTACACTAGCTACAATTCATCTCGTGTTTACATGTAGCACAATTCTTCTCCCATCAATACAGCCAGCCATCACTACCCGATATGTTCTTTGTTGTTCCATCTTATCTCGGTGTTCGCCGGCTGTGTCGGATGACGTTGCATCAATCATCCTCTAGTTCGAAATGGCACTCTTGTTTGCGATTAAGAAAGACCATCTTCTTTTCTCCTGGCTCTAAGATGAGGTTACGTCCACAAATCGACAGAACAAGAACGTAATACTTCTCGTAAGCCACAGCTCCAGTGCGGCGAAATAGCTCGGACGCCAACCCTTTTGTAATCTCCCCTTTTCCGATAACGTTTTCCCGTTCAACTTCTTCAGCCATCATCACAGACAAGACATCTCTCTTTTCATTGGTAAGTTTCGATATCAGTACCAGCTCGACCTTGTCATTCTCTTTTTCATTCTTTTCTCCAAAAGCTGCAAGTATCCTATTTTCGGATGCTAGGATACCACCCGTAATAAAGATCTCGTCAGTATGGAGATGCAGCTTTCTTGTTTCCTCATCGGGTGTGGTTGGGCAATCGACATAGCCCAGGGACTTTGCAATCTCTTCCGCATCGTAAACTTCTCGATCTTCTAACCAGATGGCGATAATCAGGACGTTCGAGGCTCCCCATCTGCTCAAATGGTCTCGTCGTCGGACGGCACTCTCCAGGTGAAGGGGCTCGGGACTTGTTTCTGGGACAGATGATTTGCGGCGGCTTCGATAAACCCCTGTTTGTTGTCAGGTACTATGTTGCATTCAGTGGTCAAGCTACTGCGGCCGTTCATTCCCAGCTGGATCTGCTGTTTGCTAACATGTTTACGCATGAAGTCGTGGCATTCCACACGAAAGCCGATTCGCACACTAATGGGCTCTATATGATCAAGGGGATGTGTCATCGTTAAAGTTTGAGGGCTTCCTTCTGTATGTTGTCTTATATTTCTTCTCAGGCTTTCTGAGGAAACCCGAAGTTTTTATATGGCAACTCAAAAGCATTTACTTAATACAAAACAGGTACCAAGAAGTGTGAACCTGCTAAAGGCCAAACTTTACCCTGAAAGTGACTGATGCATATAAATCTGTACAAGGCGCGGGTATGATTTACCTAGCCTTTGTAGGTCATCTACTCACAGCTTGAAGTGATGCACACTTAAGTCGCCGCAAGTACATATTAGCAAAGGAAACAGCAGTAGGCGCGGCCTCTCTTATAAGAGCTGAGTGTGGAAAAGAGGAATGTGCGTGAATAGGTAGTCTTGCTTGACAAAGGCTGCAGGTCGTGAGTAGGCAAGCAATAGGTTCTGATCTTGAGCTCCAGCCCATCAAGCAATCAGATAACGACTTACAGATTCATCCAGAGGCCTTGAGTATCTACCCCCAAGATTTATGTGCGGGACAAGTTACCACTTAGCCTTGGTTCTCGTGTAATGTCCCGGTCAGGGGTCAGGTGGAGGTGAGTTCCAAGAGGGGACCAGACATTCACTCATAGCTACATTACATGACCAAGCTCTACCTCTCATGAGCAACAGTCCTTATGACTAACTCTAGGCAATGCTACCTAGTCATTTGTTGATACCATCTGTATCGCCTAGTTTAAGAATAGCAAAGTGAATTGTCTTGGCTCCAGCAACTTCTACCCTGCGAAGCAGCACCTGGAAGGTTGCGCTACTGAGTCATGTTATAGCTACTTACGGACGGCCTAAGACCACCTCTTGCTTTGGTTATAACTCTCTCGTCTCTTTTTGCTTCGTGTCATACCTCTGTCGTTGCTTGTTGATCCGAGCTCTAGCTCATGGGTTCATAGATGCAAGGGTTGCAACATAGGTTAAGTGAAAACACACAAAAATTAACATCCAGACACCCAGGCGGTGTCTTTGAGTCATCTTCTCGAGTTAGCTCTTTCTCTATTTGTCTGTCAAGAGTATTAGCTACGCAGTAGAAATCTCACATCTACGATGTCCTTCTTCAACACCTACCTACCCTATTGCAAGTGGAAGTCAGACAACTGTAGCTCGATATACTCATTTATACTCACATTCGTATACAATTCAGTCTCATAAAATACTAATATATATATGAAGGTCTATATCCTTTTCGTTGATGTTTTGATGGAGCTGTCGCCTGGTATCTGCCTGGCTCTGCAGCTGTTGTGTGACGCCTTCGTCAAAGACGCGCAGTAATGGCCAATTCACCTCAACATAGGACATTCCCGAACAACTAAACACACCAACTCAGGTTGATCAAATATATGGTTTGTAAGTCTACACAACCCTGGGGGTTGTGTATCCAACAGCTGGCATTCGTGAGGATACCTTAGGAGAAGACACATTGAATAGCATTGAGACTCCATAATAGCTACATGTTGTTCTTTTCATAACGCTGGATTCTTACATATGATTTTATGTATTCATTTAATGCGACTGCAGGCTCCCTTATTTGGCATCTTAGGCGGCTTCAACAGCCTCTTCTCAACAGCTTCGTCGTGCTATGGCCAAACACCACAACTTCACGGCCTCCTTTCCACTCCAACCAGAAGACATACACACCAGCCAATTAGATTGGAACTGCCCTACTGTATTCTTGTGTTATGTAGACAATTTCGATAACAGCCAGTGTGGTGATGCACCGGGTCCACAGTCGCAGTCTCTTACTGTTCTCAATCTCACCAGCTTCACACTGTCGCTCTCGTATTCAAGCTTAAGGTTAGGCCTAAGTCAGACTATTGAGAAACACATTCCTGAGCATATGCTCGTCGACAAAAACAGCCACACCGCCAAAGAGCCTCATGAGCAGAAGTTCGCAAAACAACATCCACCACGTCTTCCGCAGCGCAGATGCAAGTATCTCTGGTTTGGGAAGTTGACTGCAGACGCAGTAGCATCGCTCTCAAGAGAGGGGAATAGTCATGTGCGTATCAAGCAGAGTCCTCAACAAGAGTAAGAAACTGCCCCTTTGGTGATTGCGCATTTGCCTTCGTTCCATGTGTGAGGCTATAGAACGAACAGGATGCCCTCCTTTCTGATGTTGAGATGGCGGTGAGCGAAATCGCTGCGTCATGAACAATCCAATCACAGACGATAACACGCAATGTCTCACAATGAGGTTAGATTTGCGTAGTTTGATCTTGGAGCATCCTCTTCTCATTTGCATATGGCGAGTGATGCACATGATGCATCCAAAGGAACCGGGTTTGAAGATTCGACGAGGGGTTGATCTGAGAGACTTGGAGTAACCCCATTGAGAAGTGTAGACTGATTGGGAGACTCGGCAGGCAAAGGAATGCAAGTCTGACCATGCAGCCTCATTCTGTAGATCAGGGCAGATCGAGCATTGCATCCGCCCCATTCGTGCAGTAACTTAGGGTAGCAACACATCCATCCAGTGATCTGACGACTTCGGCCTCGTACCTTAGATCGAGACTGTTTGGAGTCCATCACAGTACTAAACTCTGTTCAAAATTAGTTTGTCTAGTACGCAGACAGGCATACGATGATTAACTCATCGTAATGACCTGGAGACTAGAGAAGCGAAATAACAGACCCGATCTCAGCGGATACCCCGGTTGACACTCCCGTGTCTCACCAGATGCCGCCCACAAGGCAAGGCAAGACAAGACAAGGCAAGACAAGAGCAAAGCAGGACCGGGAGGGGGAGCACGGGTCACGGATAGATGATGCCAAGCAAGATTGACGGTCCTGTCGGCCTCCCTTCCTCGTCCCCGTCCGCATCCCCTATATCCGTAACCAGCGGTGTCCGTCGCCGTACAGCACAGTACAGTACGGTAGGGTACAATATGCAGCAGCCTCAAAAGAGAAATACCGTCAATGCACTCTTCCCGCCCCGGACCACGGAGCTTAGTCCCGCGTAGCGCGCGTAGCGGCATCCAATCTCTCCGCTAGACCACATGGCCGTCCCCATTCAGAAGCCTCACCTGAGCCCAGCCTTGTCCATCGGAGCAGTAGCGTGCGGTGGGAGTTCTCTCTTCTCCACAGTCCGATGTGGAATAGGTTTTTTTTTTTTAATACTGTAAGCGACGTGATGGCCTTAAAACAAAAGAGACAACAACGGGCTTAGACTAACTGCGAGAGATCGGCACGCCATGCGAAATTACTGGGATCTCCACACGGATGTAAGCCTATGATAGACTTGCGTTGTAATATGCAGACCATACGTAGATGAACATGGTTCTTTTGCTGCGGCTTTGCTTTTTCGAGAGCTAAAGGCTCATGATCGCTTTTTGTTTTCTTACTGGGCGCGCTCAGGCCGCCCGCTTCAATGCGGTTGACTTTGCGATCATCCTGGATGAAGAGTCTGTGTTCCATTTACGTTTGACTCGCGTTGAATGTCGGTCTGAAGGATGCGCTGTCAAAGCACGATTGAGTTCGTCCAGAAGGATGACATCCTTGCCCTTGTAGAGCCTCAGCATTTCGTTAATCGGCCTGTCAGGCAGTAGATACAGTGATGTTGCTCAAACTAGCCAGGGCGAAAGATAACGGATCAGCCATGGACATCTACCTTGGACTATCTTCTTGTTGCTGCCCAATCATTGACTGGGAGTCTCCTTGTCAGCAGTTGACAACTCCAGTGCAAGGAAGCCCCTTGCAGTAAATACTTTGTAATTGGTCCTGGCCGTCCAGGAATATCGTATTCGTCTTGCCGCTTTGTACCTGCAGCGAGTTGTCCAAAGGCCAAGTCTACACCCACAAAGTGTTTTGAAAACATCATGATATCGATTGCGAAATTCACGGCAACTCGATTTCAGATGAACCAGGGTGGTCTTGAGAACCTGGGAACATTAAAATTTGATAGCCAGATCACCAGGCCTGGTTTGAGATATAGTGATATGGATATAAGCGCGCATACATGCATACAGAAACAGTGTCAACGAGCCCTGTTAGAACACAGTGGTTTCATTCAACGTTTGGATTTTATTATGCCGAGGTTTTCCTAGCCGTCCAAGACGTTAGATATTGCCTTCAGGCCGTTCATGTCCAAGTATCACTTCTCAAAATTTGACATATTCATCTTGATACACCACATGGAAAAGGATGAATGGAGATAGATCACCCGACTGCTACAGTGTCCGCTACAGCGAAACAGTTCGAGATTACCGAGAAACAAGAGTTGACAATCCTACACAATCTCATGTGCTTGTCTCATCTGAAGTTGGGATGCAACTCAAGATCGTACCTCGCCCCAAAGATAGTAATTAAGATACGTCATTTCGGAGAATCTCCTGTTTGGAAACTACAGAAGCAATTCGCAACGCCCCGGGAAAGCAATTGTCTGCTTTTGTTGTTCTTATGAGGAAGGATACATGCTTGCCACAGGCAAATCCGAAGCTGACTTCGTGAATCCTTAATTGTGAGAAGTTATAGGTGTGCACTGTAGATATGTAATATCCGATATATCAGAATGACTGCTAGATGAACTAGGGTGATAGGGCCGGCGATCGATAGCCATGCGACGTTAGACGGTTTACAGTTCATCTGCCCGTGGTCCATTGGGTGATGGACGCGGTTCACAGTGGCTTAAGAGCCGGGTCCCCATTAGCTCAACAGGGGTTGGCTCAACCACACAGTTCGTAACCTGGCGCGTTCAAGCCAGCTGAGGAACTTGGTCAGATCATTGTTGCCTACAGATCCTTCAAATCACATCAGGTATCATTTCATTGCGACGGACGGCTGCATACCCGACAGCAAGGAGCTGAGGGCCTGGCTACCTGAACAGCTTTCCCGAGGCTGTGGTCGCAGGTCGCGTAAGTTCATCCCTACTTAGCTGCTGCAAGGAGGCATTGTATCGCTGAGCTATTGAGTTCGTTCTCGCTCAATCTCCTGATAAAGAAATTCGGTACAAGTATCCCTTTATTCTGGTTGCGTCTTTTCGGCAAGGGGGATGATTG